CGACCTCCTTGCCGAACCATCGGCCCCTCCTCCTCTTGCCAGCCGCATGCCCTGAGTGGCCTCCGTAGTCTGGCCCTGGGTTGGACTGCAAAAAGGTGTGTGTTAAAAAAAAAAACTGGCTTGCCAATCTGGCATGGCGCCCAGCTCGCGATCGATGCCACGATCGTCAGCCCGGTCACCCGAACCGGCCACGGCCTGGCGCGGACACCCGCCCCGCAGCCGCTGTGCACGATGCGGCCAGACGCAAACGGCGCCAAACGTACCCCAAGCTCCAGGGTGCCAGACGTGCGCGGCTCGTCGTCGTCGTCGGGATCCAGGTTGGGGGGCGCTTCAGCACCGAAGCAGCCTCCTTCTTGCGCCTTTTGGCACAGCAGGAGCATGCGGGAGCCACGTATAATGCTATTCAGCCTCACCGATCGCGGCGACCTGATGAAACGGGGGCGTTGCCCGTCTCCGGTCGGCTGCTCTGGTGCACGCCACATTTCGTCCATGAGCATGGAAGCCAAAGCGCTGCTCCCACCGCTTATGCTCCCACCCGGTGCGAGCAGCAGCTCACAGAATCTGCAGCGTGCACAAGGAGCGTTGCCGAGCGAGGCAACGGAATCCACGCACGCACGTCATCGCACGTCTTTCTTCGCCGTCTCAAGAGCGAAGCTGCTTGCTATGCGCTTCGTGACCGGTGCACGCCGCTCGTGATTGACCGATGCAGGCCCTTGGGCCGCCCTTGCCGCGCTGACGCAGAGAAAGGGGCCCTGGGGTAGCACACCAGCATTCCATATTGTATTTTGCAAGCACGATATGTTATACCGTTATGCCTGGAGCTTGTACTGCAGCAATCCCTCGCATAGCAATGTGTTTGGTACAGATTTGCTTGAGATGTCGCAGAATCGCTAGCCAATCTGACCACCATGTGGCAGCAGCCTTCAACTGTGTGTGGCGTCACTGTGCAAGAACGACAGCATGCTTGCCCACGTGTTCTTACACAAGGTTTACTGACCGACGGGGCCTTCTATCAAGCACACATATATGTTCAGAATGGATCAAGCTTTCGGTGATGTGGGCGCTCATGCAAATAAGTTCATTGCGGGATGGGAGCTTTAGGCTCAAAATGAGGAACGCGGATTTCTGCCAAGCGCGAAAGCGCTGCTTGGGAACGTAGTTGCCCACCAAGCACCGAGCACCAACAAAATCTTTGTACATGGACGTGCGGGCGTCGTGCCCAACTCAGACATATTGACACTACTGTAGCAGGCAAAACTTTTTGGCAGCAGCTTGAGGTCAGATGTTGTCGACCGTGCCAACGCGTTGGGTTTGCCTCTCTCCTATGCAAACTTGCTCCAACCTCGTTGTTTCAGAATTGAAATGCATAGACGATAGCTCTTTGCAGATAGCCTGTTTGCGGCCACGTTTCGTGCAGGTTGGGTGGGTTGGCGCATCACTCAGACAGACCTTGGGCTCGGATTGTAGGCTTTTCATCATCATTGCCGCGAGTGCAACATGGAACCTTGCGCACCCAGCTTGCTGCAAACGAGGTCGGCACAATCTCACTGTGTCATGGCGTGATGCCCATCACCGTGGACGATACCTTTGCATTGGTGTCAGCCTCATTTTCGCGGGACCGAACGAACGAAATCTTTATGTTTTGGTCCAGGTGCCACACCACACAATCTTTAGCCCAATCGCTTCGTTGCCCTTTCCGTTCGGCAAGCGAGCTCAGACGGCAGGTGTGTTGCCGCGTTCGGACGGAGAGATGTCATGCCGAGTTTGGAACCTGGTGACGGCTCATTTGTTCGAAGCCAGCATACTTCGTCCTTGCCTCGACGCTGGTGGGTGTGCAGCATGAGCTCCACACGCAGGCAGCCCCCAGTCTCAAGCCACGCCTGCCAGCCTTTAAGGTGGCATAGCTATGACGCTTGCAGTTGTTTGGATGGCCAACGGCTAAGTGCAGTCCTCGTTGAAGACTGCGCGTGTTGGATATGGTTCCTGTTCAGGTTCAGAGGCTGGAGCGACTTTGGCATGGAGCTCGGTTTCTTTCCACCGGTAGACTCGGTAAACTAGCGGTTGAGGATGTAGTGGTTCGGACATGTGGTGGCACAATTTGTTTTGTTGCTTGTGTGAATGGTGGCTCGAAAGACCGTTTTGGGCCCAAGCCCCGTGAGATGGACCGAGTACGATTTTTATTACACCAAGCAGCTCCCACGGGTCGCATCCAATCGTCAACGCTGTTGCAGTGCCTCGGAAAATGCTGGATGTGAACGGGTTACGGTAGCTCCAGCTTGCTCGTGGTAGCAACATATTGCCACGCTCATGTCCTTGAAGTCGTTTCATCGAGGTTGCTGCAGCGTCTTCAAGCAGGAGATGCAGATGATGAGCTTTTGCGTGTGGTCCTGGAAGGGTCCAGCGTGGACTTGCAGGACTTTTTGCGAGGCCGTCATACAGTCTTGGCAGCAGTGCGCCGGTTTGAGGTTGTTCTTCTTCGTGTCAGGCACAGGGGCATCGGCAGCAACAGAATTGCGGATATGGTTGGGCTTCTTGAAGCTGGACGACAAGATACCAACTGTGCATTCCATTAAGCGGCTGCTTTTTACAGGGGAAGGAGGCCATGTCGATTTGCGTGCGGTTTTGGCCTAGTTCGTGTTTTTTGTGTCGTTGTTCTGGCATGGTGTCGCAATCGTCGTACAGGAACTGCAGATGGAGCTGATGTCGTGGCTCTTTTCCTCACGGACTTGTTCATCCACCCCAGCAGCCTGAATGGTTTGCGAAGTTTGTTGAGGACCGTTGGTTTGTTCTTTGTTCCCTGTACAGCTGATTTTGAAGAAGTCAACCAGTGCAGTTTACGTGTTGCAGGAATGCCATGGGAGCAGACCGCGCTTCGGAGTATGCGTCTTGGCATGTTGTTTTCGCAGGATCACAGTTCCCAGATCGTTAGATTTTAAGCCTTCATCCAAGTTGTGACTTGCCCGTGCTCTTTTCCTCGAGGATTGAGCAAGGTTTTCTTTGTAGTCAGCTTTTTTGCGGAAAATGCTTCATGTCTGCGGTCTAAGGTTTTCAATGAGGATGACCCGGCTTTGCTGATACGTCAGATTCCGGCGCAGTTGGTCAAGGCTGACGAGGATGGGCTTCGTCACGTCTCCATGCATGTAGCCGTGAAGTGTAAGTACGTGAGAGACTTTGACAATGATGCTTCCATCAATCACC